GGAGAACTGAGTTGTACTGTAGGTTTGACTCTGTACTGTTCAGCTGTGGTTAGTTCCAGCCTGGAAAAGCATTACTTCCTACTTTGATGATCCTCTGGTCCTCCTGCCAATTGAATTACCAGACTTTGAAAACATTTCTTTAGTGCTGCCAGTGACACCATACTTGTAGGCTATTGTTTGAAACCCCACTTTTCAAAGAAAGCAAAATGGCTCCATGACCACAGCTCAAACAAAACAAGAGCTGTTTAATGTTTTGTTTTGTTTTTCCCTCAAAAGCTGTAGCTTTGGTCGGTCACTAAGAGAATAGAGGCATACATAATTTGGTGGCAACTATGACCATCACATATTTTAAAAAAGAACCTGAAGGCATAGACATCATCAGCAAGCAATACATTAAATATACGTTAAATAAATCTTTCTTCACTTCCTCATAACTTAATTCCTTCCACATAAACAGTAATATTATAAAATATCATTATAATTTAAAATAACTGTTTTCTCTAATTATGATGTAATTTATTCCTGTGATGCAAAACTGAATTTTCAGCATCATTACTCTAGTCTTCAGGGTCACATGATCCTTCAGAAATCATTCTAATATGATGCTTTGGTGCTCAAGAAACATCTCTATTTGTTATCAATGTTGAAAACCGTTATGCCACCTAATATTTTTGTGGAAACTGATACATTTGTTCAGGATTCTTTGATGAATAGAACTTTCAAAAGAACAGCATTTATTTTAAATTAGTCCTGTCAAATCGATCAATCACATCTAACATAAAAGTTTTTGTTTATATAATATGTGTGTGTTTATATTATTATATTTATATATATATGTTATGTGTGTGTGTACACACCCATTTATGTATGCATATATTATGTATGTATATTCACACACACACACATATATTGTGTGTATATATAAATATATAATTTACATATAAATATAATAATATATAATACGCATATATAAACACAAACTTTTATGTTAGATGTGATTAATCACAATTAATAGAGCACTATTTGAAATAGATGTAAAATGTAAAAGTCTTTACTGTCACTTTAATGCATTCTTGCTGAGCAAAAGTATTAATTACTTTCTAAAAATAAAATCTTATTGATTCTAAAATTTTGAATGGTAGTGTATGTCTACCATTCTATTAAATATATGAAGCATCTATTAAATTACTAAATGTAAATGTTACAGACCAGCACAGGCTTATTCAAGCCATCTGCCCCTGTCTCTTGAAATGTGCACACATCCTCAGGAAGAAGAGGTCGACAGTGATGATGTCACAGTGTTTACGATGAAGCGCCTGTTGTCCGAGTGTGAACACGTGCCTGTTAAGGGACAGTGTAGGAGTTTCTTGTGGATGGACTGAACAATGAAGGGGTGAGGCACTGAAAGGACTTTTTATAGGACAGGGTGGACTTTGTATTGTTTGTTATAAAACATATTATTTTGGCTAACCATAGACACTCACAATCCCTATTTACTTTTGACTCAGTGAATGAGATGATGCTGTGTCATGGTACAGTGGCTGTGCTCTCAGGCTTAAAACTGCGTTGGCCATTACGTTCATGTTTATGGCACTTATTAGGCAATCTGCGAGGAGACATTAGTCTGATGAGGTCGTTCATCATGAGCTTCATCGCAGTTGTTCTGTCACTCCCGAGACTGGAAGTTAACATGAAATCAAAATTGACCTTATTTACTCTCTAATACACGTTCCTGGTCTTAATGTGCACGATTCATTGATTTATGTTATTTCAAAGAATACAAAATATTGTCTTTGATCCACCTCTGACTTCCTTTTTCATCTGACATGCAAGTCCATCTTTTTTTAAACTCAATTCCCAGTCAATGGAGCTTGCTGTACATCTTAATCACACTTTTGCATAAGAACTTTTATAAAAAAAAGTTTAGCAAAAATGCAGCACATTGTCCGATTCTGAGTGAAAATGTACTTTTTTTTTATTTTTTTTATTGGGCTTTCTCTTTTGGTCTTTTTTTCTTTCACAAACACATACCACAAATCTGACTAAGTCTAAGAATAAAGAGTTGACACCAAACTGTCATGGCGGCAGCTCTGGGTTTTGCAGGACTGCTGGTGAGGGGGGTGTGAGGCAGGCCAGACCTAAAAATGTGTGATTCATTTATGAGGGAAGGCAGTGCTGGCTCCACAGGCAAACCTTGCAGTCTATAGAGGAAAAGAGTTCAGTTTGCTCTAAGGTAAGAGGCCCACCACCTTTATGGGTTTTATCTTTAAGGGATTATAAGGGATTTTACACGAAGTGGGTGACACAAAGAGGTGGTCTTCAGCATTTAGAAAAAGAAAAGAAAAAGAAATCTAAAGTTCTCAATATCTGCGTGGAATTAAATGATTCACTGCTATTGTGGCATTTTGGCTCAGAGCAGCCTCATGACATCACTGGTCTGTCTGTGCTTTTGTTCATTTTTAGCTTGTGACATGTGTTAGCCATAAAAGCAGGTCATTAATAAAAAAAAAGCAATGTAGTCTAGATCACGTATCTGCAATTTTATGAATTTACTCATGCTCTAAGAGGCAGTTTGTCATTGAGAAAACGTCAGCTGTGCTCTGAAGCAGGCAGACATTTCTATGCTATTTAGAGTCTCCATGGACCTGGCTTGAATTGTTTCCACTTTTTGCCCAAGTCTTAGGCTTTCGAATTTATTGTGTTGCAATGGGATGAAGACATAGATATTTTGGGTCTTTTCTTCCCTATTGTGACGTAAATCCGAGTGAAACTGCTTCTTTCTTCTCGAACAAGATTTTTTTTTTAGTGCGTGACATGATTTTGTCCATCTGGAATTGATTGGATTGTTGTCATTTGCTAATTGCTGTGATGTCATGTGAGTGACAGGTTGCTGGAGGGGAGGGATTATTGCCCTCCTCTCAATCCGGTGCACGCGTCATCAGAGAAGAGATGTCATCGAGGGGGAGGGAAAGTTAATGTTTTTAATTAAAGATTTATAGGGTGCATGAATGAAAAAATAATGATGTGCACGGATAAATTATTTATAAATATTTAAATATAAGAATTTTGGATTTTATGGGGACTTTAAAGACAGCAGCTCACCAGCTGATATAAACCACAGAAGTTTGTGTAAAACCCATGATCGTGTTATCCATTTTTGAGAATTTGAGAATTTTTTGAGAATTATTTGAGAATTACCCAAAGTCAAAGAGCATCTTTTGCTTCAATTGAATAATATCTGAACGACTGTTCAAAGGATTTCACATGATCAGTGCCACAAATTTAATTATTTGATTAGTGAGCACAGTGTGTGTGTTTGCAGGTGGACTAAATGTTTCTGAAAGACATGACATGACTAGTGTTAACGAATGTCATTGAAAAAATTCACATTAAGAATTTTCCATATGGCAGTAAAGATCTTCCTTCGTGTATTTTTATTTATTTTTATTATTGCCTCTTTTGACCTCTGTGTGTGCTAGATGATGCTGTGAGAGGCAGTTCTCTCTAAGGGCCTTTAATGGTGAATGTGGATCAGTCTGGAGTATCTGGGTTGGAAAGTGTGAAAATGTGAGTGTCATACCTCTGCTAACTGCTTCCTTCATCTTCTGACAAACATCATTTAGATCAAAACAGACATTTTTCTTTTGGAAAAATGTGGTATGTAAACATGCCTATCTGTTTCAGTGCCATCAGTAAAGTCTCAATCTCAGTCCATATCTTCTAACATGTAAAATTGTAACATGGTAGAAATTAATAATTCATAATAGCAAGGATGTGGGTGTTTTTATCGATTGTGGTGATAATTGTCATTGACTACATTTTATAATTAGGCCTAATCATGTATTTTTCCATAAAATATTCTGCTTTAGCTTGGGAGATTACAGAATCAGTCAGCATGCAAAGCTGTGAGAACATTCAGGTATTGTGGAAGTCTAAGCTACCATTTGGACTTCACCCACAGCAGATCAATGAAATAACTGTAATACTTACCATGCTGGGAGATTTCAGGCAATTTTGTTTTCTCTTACTCTCTCAGAGTGTGTGTTTAGGACAGGTTAGGTAACCTCTTTTCCTTAGTCTTGCTCAGACTTTTCAAGGCAGGTTTTGTTTTGGTTACCTGTTGTCTACTCCAGTAGGCCTACTACTGTTTAATCTGTTGCATGTTCACATGTAAATCTGATCTCATGAGATTAGGTTTCATCACAATCTGAATTACCATCATTGTAATATGGGTTTTTAAATAATGTAGTTGATATTTTCTATCTCAACTTAATCTTAACACTCATGCAAACCTTTTTGCATTTTTTAAATATATATTCATTAATATATCATAATCATAATCAATATAGACATTATTTAATAGTTTTATTAACCCGTTTTCCTCGTAGGGGAATTTCTTTCTTTCAAAGTTCTTTCCATTGTAAGTGATTTTAGGTTTTTCTATCCTTGTAAATTCAAAGATCCACACAGATTCAAATATCCAAACAAACTGCTTTAGAGCTACTTCAAATAATTACATATTCAATTTTGCTCAGGCTTATATTTTCAATCGATGAGATTGCTAATTGTCATCTTATTAAAATTATGAATTGACACAAATGTCCTCATATAAAATGTTTATAACAACTATTATTGCTAAAGTCGGTATTGTAGCTCAAGATTTTTTTCCACACCTAAGATAAAGTTTCTAAGTATGGATAGTCAGTCATTCTGGAGAGATTTTCCTTCTGGATAAAGAACAGAGGAAAGAAGAGAAGAGGGGGCAGATGGGAGAAGAGAAGACTGGGTCAGTGGATAGACAGACTGACAGCAATACGAATCGTTTCTCTCGTGGCAAGATAGGACCTTTTTGTTTTGGCTGTGAGCAGCAATCCTCTTATGAAAAAGACTGTGAGAGATAATCATTTTAACTTCATCTGTGTCTCTCTCTCTCTCTCTCTCTCTCTCTCTCTCTCTCTCTCTCTCTCTCTCCCTCCCCTCTGTCCCGTTTTCTTTCACAGCGATGGCCTCTCCTGTGCAGCTGTTCATGAGCTTGCCTCATCTGGACTAGGAGTGGAATTCATCTGACACTCGCACGGACACATACACACACACCACTAAAAGCATAAACACACCGCGTAGCCATGTACAGCGTGGAAGACCTTCTCATCTCTCATGGATACAAAGTCCCACAAAGGAACAGCAACAATGTCCCCGTCTCACAGTCGTCTTCCCCCCACCCTGCAACCTATGAGAAATGTCTGCCATCACGAAGCGACAGCCGGTGTGAAATCGCTGAGAAGCGGAAAGGACACAGCGGCGTGAATGGCTACGAGGGGGACCGTGTTTACAGCGGTGGAGTTATCAGACAAGCTCCTGCCAGGGGATTCCCCGGTGACACTGAAAACAGGGTCAGGAAGCAGAGGACACAAGACGTGGACAACGGTAACCTAGGAGATGGACGTTTGCCAGAAGACAGCATGACCACGGACAGTGGGTGAGTTGTGCTCATGAGTTGTTTTTGACCTCTTCATCTTCTGTCCAACATTCCAGTATTGCTGCTGTCTTTCTTTCTTTTTCATTCGCTCCTTTGATCTGAGGTTTAAGCTGTCTTGCATGATGAAGAGTGTTACGTAAAGGTAGGAGCTGTCAAGGACTTCCCTTTTGCACCAGGACAGATACCAATTTTCCCTTTTTTTTAATTCCTCCCCTGTTGCCTTTCTCCCGCCATTTCTTATTTTTTGTTTGCACTTTCTTTCATCCTCACGTCATCCTCTTTGTACTTCTTACATTTGTATGTACTCCGTTTCCTCAGTCTCACTCATTTCCCTGCACTCTCCTACCTCACTCCCCCTGTAGCAGATGAATTCATTAATATGTTTAGTGCAGTGCGGTTTTTATTTCCTCTCATTTCACACGGGACTGTAGTGGAATAAACAGCAATGTTGTCTGAAAGCCCGCAGCACCCCCTACTGAGCATGCTCAGTTCTGCAAGCAGAGCCAGCAGTAAACCACATGTCCCATGGCCATGAGCCCTTTGTCAGATCAATATTCCATTCCTTATAACAATCTCTTATATAACAGCATTATTAATAAAACATGGTGAATAACTGAATTCTGCCTGCTGCATTGTCGCAGAGCAGCTTCAAAGATGATTTTTCTTTAGAAAAAAATTACATAAGAATACTTAATTTTCCTTACTAATTTTGTAAAAATATAATTTTCCCCTACATTCATCAGTTAGTCAATCATAATGTCCTTGTGTCATAGATTTTTAATGTCATAAATGTCATAGATAGATAGATAGATAGATAGATAGATAGATAGATAGATAGATAGATAGATAGATAGATAGATAGATAGATAGATAGATAGATAGATATGTCTCTTTTGACAATTATTGGCAATTTGGCATACTATCAAGCTAGTGCATCTCTGCACTTTTAAGTAATTGCATGTCACATGTTTTGAGACTCAGCAGTTCAGGGCAGGAAGCAGCTCCACTGCTGCAACTGTTACTAAGCTAGATTATCCTTCCATGAGTGCAGGTCAGAATTGTTTAACATGCAGATCATATGCTCTCTGCTGCCAAGATATTGGATGAGAGAACAGACCTTCAGTGCTGACTCAACGTTTTGCACCACACAAATTAGTCATGTTCCTGCTTAAGATAAAATGCTCATTTATTTTGGTGTGTTTGCACCATTAAAACCTCCCAGTTTATTGGGCCCTTTGAGGTCTTCTACTTTGTTGACATCATTGTCAGCATGCACCTCCTTCTTTTAATGTTAGTGTGATGTTGCCTGTGTGCTGGCATAGTGGGATTTGAGCACAGATGTGTCCTGAGAAACATTTTTGAAAATCATATTTGAAATCATCAGTCATCATTGATTGCTCCGCCCCCAAAATGCACAAACACGCAATGCAAGAGTGGGTGTCTCTCTATCATAGCTGAAGCAATGCAAAATAATGTTTTGCGAAAAATAAAGCAAAGATGAGGAAAAAACGAGAAGGAAGAATAAAAAATTAACATACAGTACACAAGAGTATATACAAATAAGAGTTTGTTGTTAGTCGTCAGCAGGATACCAGCTCCAGACAAACAATGACACTCAAAACTGTCCTGTTACTAGCTAACATCACGACAACAGCATATCTTGGTTCTATGAAACTTAGCAAAACCAATGTTTCTCATGTATGGAGCAGAAACAACGCAGCCTATGCATCTGCACCCAGGCATTCCCACGTAGGCCTCTCCAGCGCTGGAATGGTTTTCTAATATTTATGCGGGTCCTAAAGCTCTGATCATAACCCTTCTTTTTCCAGTGAAATTTCATTGACCTTTTTTCTCTTTTGTAATGTCTCTCAGCCATCTCTTTGTCTACAGTCTTTCTTCAAATCTTCCACTTGCTCACTCTTTCTCCTCCCCATCATGAGTGTATACGCCCCCTACTGCTGATTAACTACATGTGTGTTGTGGTGCTCGGTTCGATCCACTTTCAATAGCTTTTCTCAGAATTCGCTTACTTCACTTTTAAGTATATTCAGTATAGTTTTTATACTGTATATAACTAGAAACAATTTCATTGTCAGTTTATTATTTGTATAAATCATTTTTGTGTCTGGACCACTAACATAAAGTTGAAAGCCAATGACATAATGAATCAATATGTTGTTATTAATATTTCTTAATATAAACAAGACATTTTTAGTTTAAAAAAGTCCATTAAATCTCTTCATCTCACATCCTCAAGTCCTATAAATACTGCCTGTCAAAGTATGGCTTATCAAATATAACAGCTGACCTCTATTTATTTAATGCCATCTGTGTGTTTTTAATGCAGGTTTTTTGAGACCCACAGAGGAATACATTCTCAGCCTAGATCTGAGCAGGATGTGTCCTACTGGCGGAGAAGAGGTCAGGACTTTAGTGTGCTTCTGGATTATGCAGACTTCAGGGACCCACGAGGAAGTGGAGGAGGGGTTCCCAACAAACCAGAGGGCATGCAGCGGAGGCCAGAATCCGCCTTGAGCACAGAGGAACATAACCGTGAAAGACAACGGCGGGCAGACAGCGCACGTGCCAGAGAGAGAGAGATGGCCCTCCACCAGTGGAGAATTGCTGCTGAAAGAAAGTACCAAAGTTTGGGAACAGAGGAGTGGCGTCCAATGACCAGCATGAGCCGTCATCCATCTGAAAACGAGGTGGCACAGGAGCAACGTAGGCCACGAACTGCTGAAGGAGCCGTTCCATCCAGAACCAAAAACAAGTCCCAGTCACTGCCCAGAATGGCTCTGCAATCTGAAAGTCACCAGTACTTTAGCATACCAACTGCTGGACAAGATTCATATGGGAGCTATAAGTTAAACGGCCACCACACACGAGACCCTCATGGACGGCATCTTAATGATAAAGAGTGCAGGGTGCGGTGGACTGACCGATCAGGAGCACAGTCCGCACCACTATCAAAACCCAGATTCAGCCGACCTCTCAGACCTCCATCTTACGAAGTCCACCAGCAGATGCGTGGGAGCGCAGAGATGCTCACAGGGGAGCTTGTTCCTCGTGCCAGAGACAGAACTCCACTGCCCTTCTCAAGGCAAGAGTACTTTGTACAAGAACTTGGCGGTTCTGGTGTAGAGCCCCCTGGTTATATCCCTCCTCCATCATACAGGAGGCAGTCTGTAGTTAAAGGGGGTCACAGAACTTATCCTATTTCAATGGCTAACCACCAGTATAGAGGTGACCCATATATGCAGGGCTCTGCCATGACAGAAGTGCAGGAATGGTTTATCAGGCAAACTGGGATGGCTTGGCCAGACCATTACAGAGATGGAAGAAGAAGTATGCCCTGCAGGAGACAGGCGTATCCAGGCTACAGTGAAGAACGGATGGGTAGCATTCAGTACATTCCTTTTGATGACCCCCGTGTCAGACACATTTCAGGAGCAGGGATGGATGGGAACTCTTTAACGGATGCAGACAAAATCAGAAACATCAGAAATGAGATTCCGGTCAACCTCATATCTGAGAAGTCTAATGACAGTGCCTTTTCTCTCACAGAGAAACCCTTTGACCGCACTGAACCAAGTAAAAGCAATATTAGTGTCTCTGTTAATGAGGACAGTATGCACAAGGAAGCTTTGAAGGAGACAGAAAATTCAAACACAATACCTGACAAAAACTGCAACAGGCATCCAGCTGCCCATGGCAATATAGTTGCTATTCAGATGACAATGCAACAAAACTCCAACTCAGACCAGGGTTTGATTGAGACAGTGACACAAGTAAAGAAATTTGAGGCAAAAACTGTGGCTGAGAACAAGAAAAACTCAAAGAAGAAGCTGAAAGAGACAATGTTTTGCCTGGTTTCTGTCCCTATTAGTATGCAAGCAAACAAAAGTGTCTCTGACCCAAATAACAATCAAAAAGTGACTAATTCAATAGAAAACACAGTGGTGCAGCATGACAACCAAAACCTTATAAAAACATCAAGCAAAGAGACACATATACAGTCCAGCAGCTCCCTGTCAATTAAAAGTTCCCCTTTAAGGAAAGAGATTGTAGATACTAGGTCACTTGATGCAAGTCAAGACAATGAATTGTTCTATGCAGGATCCTGGCCTGGAGATCAGTACAGAAACCAGGAAACTCAGACGGGCTCTCCGGAAATTTCCAGAAATACCCATCCTCCTGCAAATGACCATCCCTCTAGTTACACAATCACTGATAATGATGATGGAACCGACTATAGTGCCAACTCCGGATATCCCATGATAGGTCAAAAGGATCTCAATCCTTCCAGCAACAGTGCATTCTCCAGAACTGGGACTGGAAGTAGTTCAAGTATAAGGAGCCCGACTCTACCCCAGTCAGCATCAATTCCACCATCTCCAGACCGTCAACCTTTGCTGAGAAAGACCAAGCAAACAGCAGATGGTCAAGAAGTTTTTGGACAGTTCTTGCTAAAGCCAGTGAACAGACGAAAATGGGATGCTATTGGGGAGCTTGAGTCTTTTAATAAGGAAATACAGGATCATACTGGGAAGTATCCAAATGTTGACCAGAATATAGAGGAGCTGGATGATGCATTGAACAGTATTTTGGAGCTGAGTGACACAAGCAGAGAGGTCAACAATACAAAACAAGAAACCACCCCAGTTCACGTGAAGAAAGAAACTGTTCAGCACTTACATATAGTGCAGGTCACAGAGACACAACTCAAAAGCAATAACTTAAATGTAATGTCCAATTCAGGGAACAGAGGCCATCCAGAATACAAAGGAACAAAGGGTTATTTGTCCAAGACAAAGGTGGACAGCCATACGCAAGAGATACCTGTCACCAAAACTGATAATTATGTCAACTTTGAGATTCTGCACAGTGAGGACACAGATCCAGAGATGCATCGGCAGGATATCCCAGTGCCAAAAGAGTGTATGCTTAAAGATGTTGGTTTAACAGTATACACTGCCGTTCCAGACACTGTGACCTCTGGATCCCCCACATGCCTGAGTCCTGAGTCACCAATGTTAACCAGCCCTTCAGATAACTCAGAGATGTTTGAGACCTTGCAGATTACATCATCAGACAGTAGCGGAGATCTGAGCAGGCACAGCCCTGAGTTTGCCGATGGTACTCAAAGCTTGAACAATAATAATGCCTTCAACTCCAAAGCCCTCAAAAAGGAAGCTGGGAGAGAAAGCACAGAGGTTACTAGATCAGGGAGGTCCTCACGCATCCATGTGATCAAGAGTCTTCATTGTAGGTTTAAGCCAAATTTTGAGGATGATGATGATGACGAAAATTTTTATTCCGATTATATGAGCTGGAGTAATGAAAAGACCTTGGCAGATGAACATCTTGAGACTCTTTTGAGTCAAGAGAAGGCCAACAGTATGCAGACCGAAGACCTTAGTAATCTGTACGAAGTCCAGTGTGCCAAAGGCATTCCTGAAAATGAATCCATTGAACAAAGGGCTGCCAGGATTCTCGGCATTGCTGTGCCAGTTGAAGCCTTGGTTGTTGATCAGGTTGATGGCAAACCAGTAGAACGTAATTTGATAACCACAGATGCTCCAGCTTTGGCAACACAAACCAAAGAGATGCGCTTAAATGAGGAGACGCAGAATGCCAGTAGAGAGTTTGAGGAGGTACTAGATAGGTCTATGGAAAGTCATGGAGACGTGTCAGAGGTAGGACTAGGAGAGGAGTCTGGAGATTTACCTAGTGCTGAGAAGCACTGCCAGAGAGTCTCTTCTGTGTTGGAGCTGCCAGAGTTTCCTCCGAGTAACTTATGCTTGTCGCTTCCACTGGCCGAGGATGAGGAATTGACTCTTAGTGTAGGTAAGGGAAACAAGGAGACAGTTAATGCTGAGATAACAGAAGCGCCACAGGACCAGTTGCAGGTTTATTGCTCATCTCCTCTGCCCCGCTCATTCACAAATGATCAAGCATCCCTGGAGTACGATGTCTATGCAAAAGAAGAAAGCTCTCAGTCATTAGTGAGAACTATCACCAGGATCACCTTGGCCAAAGAGACAGACTTGGAAGAAGAGGGAGAACTAAAAGAATCAACAAAAGTGGATGAAACACTAGTGGAAGAGAACCAATATGGTGAGAATGCAGTCGGAGAAAACAAAGACATGACAAGTTATATGCAAGAAGAGGATGAGGAAAGGGTTCAGGAGGAAGTGTTAGCTGAAGAGCTGATACAAGCCAGATCAACGCAGCAACCAAAGACTATGGCACGTCCAATCCCACTACCCCGTAGTGGCATGGTAGCAAAGCGAGAGATCACGCTGCCACAAGGATTCAACATGGATAATTCGATGTCTGCAATAGAGGATGATGACAAGCTGTTTATTTCAGGTCAGTACACTAAATTCAGCATTCATAACGTTAAAAACATTTTTACTTAAATGCTATATAAAATGTTTTAATCATATATGGAAACAAGATTTTCTCAGTTTCATTAAAGCGTAGATACATCTTAGCTCCCTAATAATTCCTAATAAAGATATTGATAACAGTTGGCAAACAGTCAGCTTAGCTTATGTTTAGTTTGTAATAGTTAAACACTTCATTGCAGTCTGCTTCCAATATTAGTTTTGCTTTATGTATTGTGTGATGTCTATTATGTGAAGTCCATTACTAGGAAAGGTCACCTTGAGCAATATATTTTAATTGGTGTGGTATACAACAAAAAAACTGCACATACAATCAACTTCCAGTGGAAATAATGATTGTTTTTCCCCCTGGCATATTCTGTAGCATTATGAGTTGCCAAGGAACAATAACTGATCTTAAAACTTGAGGGCAATGAGCAATGAGTTTTTTCACCACAAGAGGGAAGCGTGGTATGATTTATACTCATTGCCATAACAAATCAGGCGAGAATAGATTATGGACCAAAACAATCATATTATATTATATTATATTATTATAAAAATGTAAAAAAAAAAAAAAGAAGTTTACTCTAAACTGATATTGCTCTCCTTTTCTAGTAGACATATAATGTCATGCTATGGTTTTGAGTCAAAGTGATTAATATAATTTGTATTTGTTTTCAGATGGATATGACCCAAGTCATGTGGAGAGAGTCTGAACTTATACGGATACGGTCAGAGCAAACCCTGTGACTTTTACTGGAATACAGGCTGTAAACAAACACTCATCTGAAACTGAGAATGATGTAGGCTAGAACCACTCATATTAAAAATAGTCAGAGAAGTTTATAAGCAGGCAGATGGACTTCATGTCACCTATTAAGACTATTAATCCTGGGAATTTCTATGACCTGTTGATGGCTAGAATAGCTAAGATGTCTATCAATGAGATATGAATGTATAATGTATATCAAGTAAAGCTCAGATATTACACAAATAGCTACAAATCAGTCTGTATAGACTTAATAATTTTCTAAAGTTTCTCTGCACCAGCAAATGCTGGAGTTCTGTTGAGCTTTCACAGAACACAGGGTCATTGTCCCAACAGCAACAAGAAAGACACAAAAGCTTGCACTTCTCATTTTCTGCAGTATTACCAATGAGAGAAAGGAGAGAGGCCTTGATGTAACAAAGCAATGAACTGGACTGGCGAGGTAGCAGCTGAACCAGTGACATTTCACTGTGCTTTTAATCACAGAAAAATATTTTTGTAAGAAATGTTAAAAGGAAAGTGTGATTATCTGTTTTACAGGTTGGAGAAACCATGTATGTCACTGTGGTAAAACTGCAAAACAAAATGCAAATTATGGAATAGGATGCTTTTACCCAAAAAAGGCAGCTAAGAAGAAAGGTGAAGAGAGGCAAAGATTTAAAGATATTTTGTGTAAAATCTTGGTCTTCAGCAACTTTAATCTTAACTGCAGTGATTTTAGTTTCCGTAGTAATTGTTTTAAAATTACTCCCTGCACTTAAGAGTTTTCACATCTCATATGCAGTTTGAGCTTTTCAGAGTAGCAATTTGACAATGTATCATCTCACCACAAAATGCAATCAAAAAAAAAAGAAGAAAAATGTATTTATTTTTATCAAGCTATCAACAATCTGTACAGTTGAAAATATATTTGAAAAAGTGGATTTTATTTTACCTTGTGAGTTTGTTTGCTTGATTACAATCATTATGGATATATCATATCTGAATGTCTATTATCATGTATTACTCTGGCAATGAATGATTCTTTTATTGTGCCGTGTGGCGTGCTTTTTGTTGCACAAATGTCAGAAATTGTTATGTTTCTTTATGCACAAATGAAGTATTCTGAATCTTAAGTCCATCTTAGTTCTAAAAACGTACTCATATTGTGAGTATACCTACCAGATGTAGTGCTTGTTAACTAGTTTACCCTTGTAATTGCTTGGTTACTTTCTGTTATGACTCTGTACTTGCATAGTTGAGATGGACAACAGTTGCCCACTGATATTTCCATCACATGGTTTTTATAAATGCAGTCCAAAGTGCACTAAAATGAATTTAAGTAAAAACAAATTAGCGCATCCAAAAAACGGAAATAGTGGTCTCTACCAAAAACTCCAGTAAAGTCATTGCCTCCATTTACTATTATTGTTGTGGGTAAAGTGTGCAAATACCATAATGTTATAGTAATATTACTATTGATATTTGCCATAAGCATAATTATAATAAACCATGAATTTATGAAAAAAGATGTTCTGTAGTCAGTGGATAGGGAAAAAATAAGACTTAGCATTAATCACATTTACTTTGTGTAAGTTGGCATCACATTTTTGTTGTAAGTAGTCCTTGATTGTTTATACCATTTTGTACAATTTTGTTTTTCAAAACAGATGATTATATTGTTGCATATAACGTATATTGCATTTAATATCTTTTTCTATTTTCATACAGAAACTGTACATGATTATTTTGTATTGAGTTGGAACTGATTTGCCTTCTCATGAGATAGAAGATGTAAACTGGGGTCAGGAAAAATGTTTTGCATACAATTGCATTTGGTACTACATTAAAATATATTCATGATATTACATTGTGCACATTTTTATCCTGCTAAAAAAAGCTTTGAACAATATTTAAATTCAAAACAAGCTATTTTTTGAATATTTTACAGAAAGTTTACTGTGCACCTCAGTACTTGTGTCTTTGAAGTATTGGGTGAATGTGAATGAAATGTTTGAGAGGAAACTCCTTTGTACATTATAGTAGATTGCTCATTAATAAACTCCTTGCATGGACTGTTGTTTTGTTTTCATCTATTAATAATTTTATGTGTAACATGGAAAGGAGAAACAATTTGCTTGTTTCCTCTTTAACAGGTTTATAAAGAGTCATATATAAAACAAAACACAATTCACATGTTTGGACTGCAGCGCTTGCATTTTTCTGAAAAAAAAAAGATGATTCTCTTTTGCAATGCATTTAATTAATGGAAACCTTCCTAGAAACAAACATATACATGATAATCAAACACATTTGTTGAACAAATGAATGCCAAGTAATAAAGAAAACATTTTTCTCATTATTTAAAAGTCATTATTTTGAGTCATTATTTAGAACTTATTTTGTTTCTCTCACTCAGAAGTCTGGAAGTTTTGTCATACTGCGATAAAGTTGAAATTCACTGTTGTCACTTAAAATTCATGTTTACTTTGAAATTAAAACCGTTCAACTTTTTATGCTTAATGTTTTGTGGACTTAAAGGGATAGTCCACCCAAAAATAAAAATTCTGTCACCAATAGAGTGCTTCAGTCGTGATGTCAAAACCCATAAGACTATTTCCAGCGAGATTTTCCTATGGGATTTTCTATTTTCTATTTCCTTTCTATTTTTTTCTGGGTAAAATACTGTGGTAAATATAACTTACTTGTAAATTACACACAGCCATATCGAAAACATGAATTTTGAAGCTGTTATGTTTATTTTAAAAACATGTTTCTAATAAGTAACTACAGTAGATTAGAACGTTAGGGGTGTCGGTGTTTGCAGTGTACATTGTAAAACAAAATGTCCACTGTCCAAGTATTGTCAAGTTATTTTTTTTACCACAGATCTGATTTTACGCCGAAAACCAAAAACTTTCAATTTTAATTGAAAACCCCCATTATAAAGCCCATTGGAAAATCTCAAGGGAACCACTGGCGAATTAGTCTTCCGGCTTTTGATGTCACGGCTACAGCACTCTATTACTCACTCTTGTTGTTCCAAACCTGTATGCATTTCTTTCTTCTGCTGAGCACAAGAGAAGGTTTTTTGAAGAATGTTCATAATCAAAATGTTTAGGTTTCCATTTACTTCCTGCCACCATGGACGGCGCTGTGCAGGAGTTGCGCCCCTCTTTGTTGACTTCTACCAACCCCACCAACGCTGATTTATCTGAGGTGAGCGGTAGTCCTCCAGCTAGTTTGTTTACATCCACTAACACTTACGCATTGAAATTAATCCTCACCTGTTTCCAACAGAGAAAGCCAAAGTGGGCTTCATTATCTCCCGTCTTTCAGGCCATGCATTACAATGGGCTAAACCCCTATGAGAACAGGATGGAGCGTCTGGAGCTCTTCCATTAGCCTTGATTCAACCATGCAAGTGGATTGTTCACATTTACCTGTTTCAGAACGAAAACTTCAGGCACAGCTCTGCTTTACTGTGTTTCCTCTCAGCACTAACTCGCTGAGTGTCCTGTCCGTCCACCTCGAGTTATAATGAGTTCTGTTCATCAAACAGTCTCAGTGAGTTCTGCCCTGCATATGCCAGTGACTGTTACTGCTTCTAATTTCTCTTATCTTGTAGGCACCTTCACTGACTCAGGGTCGGCGAGCAACTTCATCTCCCAGGAGCTCAGCAAGAGATTACCCTTCTGACCCATCAACTTGAACACATCGTTGGCCATTAAGTCGGTTGTGGGACAGCCCCTGGGTGGACAAATCACCCATCAGTCACCACCATTAGAACTACATGTGGGAGTTTGCCACAAGGAAACCATCGTTTTCTATGTACTCCAATCCTCCACCACCTCCATCATCCTAAGCAAATGGTGGTTAATTCAGCATTCTCCTCAACTTTCCTGGAAAACTGTGGAAATTCTTCCATGGAGCCAGGATTGCTATAGTGACTGTATTACATTTCCTGTCAGCCAGCTCCCCAATGTACATCCTATATGTCTCCTTCTGTTTGTGCCACCATGATTGAGTCCTCTGGAATATCAAGATTTTAACTCCGTCTTCTCATCTCAAGAGGCCTCCACACCTCACCACCCGTGGGACAGCACCACTGACCTCCTGCCGGGCGCTAAACTTCCTCATGGGTGTATCTATCCCATCTCTCGGCTGGAATCGAAGGCTATGGAGGAGTATATTGAGGAGGCTCTCCGCCATGGATACATTCGCCCATCCACATAGCTGGTGGCCTCAAGTTGAGTTTATGTCCATGTATTGATTATCGAGCACTCAACAACATCACTGTAAAGTACCGCTATCCCCTTCATCTGGTTCCTGCTGCCCTAGAGATGTGGCAGGGGCAGCCTGGTTCACCAAACTGGATCTTCGTAGAGCCTACAATCTCATTCGCATCCGCAAGGGTGACGAATGGAAACACTGCGTTTGTAACACCATCAGGGCACTACAAATATCGGGTGATGCCGTAAGGCCTGGCCAATGCTCCTTGGTGTTCCAGGGGCTCATGAATGAAATTATCCGTGACTATTTATCTAAATGTGTGCTAATTTGTATGGATGACATTCTGATCTATTATTCTTCTCTCTCAGAGCACCGCAGGCACGTTTACCAGGCCCTGCAGCATCTTCGTGAGCACCGGTTGTTCCTTAAGGCCAATAAAAATGCTCCTTCCACCAAACTTTGATACATTTTCTCGGTTACATCATTGGCCCTCAAGGTGTGCAGATGGACCCGAGAAAGGTGGATGCAGTATCATGGCCTCTTCCACAAACCATTAAGGAGCTTCAGAGGTTCTGAGCGTTTGCCAGTTTTTATCATAGATTCATTAAGAATTTCAGTTCCATTGTCAATTCTCTAACCAATCTCCTCAAGGGTAAACCCAAAAGTTTGAATTGGACGGAAGAGGTCAACCGAGCTTTAGAGTCAATCAAGTTGACCTTTACTACAGCCCCCATCCTTCAACATCCTGATCCGGAACTCCCATTTGTAGTAGGAGTAGAGGCTTCTGCCACAGGAGTGGGGGCGGTGTTATTTAAGTGGAATAAAGCTTCCTTTAATCTCCATCCAGGTGCTTTCTTTTCTAGGACATCTGGTTCACCTGGTTCTGGTCACCCTGGAGTCTCTCAAACCCTATGAACATAGAACTACTAGCTATCAAGTTAGTCTACTAGCTATCAACACTGGCTAGAGGGGGCCCATCCTCCATTCACCGGGATCACAGACCATAAAAACCTAGAATACCTGAGAATGGCAAAATGGTTGAATTCACGTCAAGACAGGTGGGCCCGCTTGAATTTTTTCTGTCTCCTACTGCCTGGGGTCCCGGGGTCAGTGTTTTTCTGTCCTATCCAATGGATCCTGGACGAGAAGATTGCCCAGGCCACCCTCCAGGAACCATCCGCGGGAACCATAACATATGTGCCCACATCATTGCAGAAGGACCTTCTAGAATCCATTCATTCTTCACCTGGTTCTGGTCACCCTGGAGTCTCTCAAACCCTTTCGCTCCTTCGCAACCGGT